ACGACTACTGTATTGTGCTTCAGCTAACCGCAAGAGACTTCGTTGCCAACTCCTAATAAAACAGAATATTTGTTATTTCTATGACTACCAGGCCTGAATGGGACTCAACTCATCCAGACGTTGATTTTTATTTGTTTCCAAGGCAAACAATGAAACGGTCCCAACTTACAAAAAAAAACAAAACCACCCACTGACCTGCTGTTCCTGTTCCATTGTCTTGCGCCGAAGTTCAACGAGCTCATGACTCTTAAGTTGCAGAACGATATTCAGACTTTTTATTTCCTCTTCCAGTTTCTCCGACTAAAACAAACAGCAACAGCGTTTTCAAAGGATATAGAGTTTGCATAAAAATTCTGCACACATAGAGGAACGTAAATCCGCCTCTTTTTGAGTGGGGGTAAAGCCGTACCGCAATTTCGGCGTCAGCTTGCCCAAGTACTTGCGCCATAAAACTGAAAATTTACGAGGATTACTCGATTATTTGTTTTCAATTGCCGTCCTTGTTTGCATTATATCCGTGCGAAGTTCACTCCACTCCTGTTTTGCATATGTACTGAAGTATATCAAGTCCAAAAATAAAGGTTAATTTTAATAATTTTTCTGACGCAATTTTCTCCGTTAACCGCGGACGCTCACCCCTCAGTTCCCTCCAGACGTATAAAAAATTCTCAAGACAGTTCACCTCTTAAATGTGCTTGAAAATCACGTCTTATCTTGTGTTTGTGCCAATAAACAGTTTTTGTAGGTTGTCATTCTCTTTGGATGAAACGAATTTATAAAACTGTAGACAGTGGATGTTTAAAAGTATATCGTAACTTCGTCCGCCTGTTCACAATGAGCTCTTCCTCAAAAAAGGCAAACGAAGGGAGTCAGAAATTAAGCGGGTTTTTGGCTAGAGTCAGGCTGATGGACAAAATAGTACGCCGCGTCTTTTAGAGATGTTAGTAGTATGTAAGAGTATCATCCAATGACTTTCAGTGAGTGTAGGTTGTAGTAGGAAGGTTGAAAACGCTGTTTCAAGATCAAAGGAGCGTGAAAAATCACTTGAAGGTTTTGCCGAACACATTTCCAAGATTTCAAAAACACATCTATACATAGTAAGCTCGTTTGAAAGCACGCCACGAAGCATATACGTCAAGATTGGTATGGAAAAACCAACGACGCGGGAAAATTAACGTTCTCTGTAAGCTGCAAATGCTCAGGAAACGTGTGAAAAGGAGAAACCCTGGCAATCCCTAGGGAATGAACAGATGGAAGGTAAAAAACCCAAAAGAGCGGGTACTATCAGTCTTGTTGGTTGGTGCATAATTATAAGGAGCCCATAGTGGACTGGACTGCGCGATTTCTGGCCGATCGAAGGCACCATTAACAGATAGATTTGCACACTTGCGTTGTCTAAGCCAAACCTGGAGCGGAAGAATGAAAACTTTTTACTCAGATTTAGCGAAGGCATGGGCAAATTTCATTTGGAAATAACGCGTGAATGATGCTCAAAATAAAACAACGGGGAAAAGTCCATCCTCGTTACGATAAAGGGCATCTGATTGTCTAACAATATAGTTTTCTAAAGATTCGCCACTTTTCTAACCACGTCTATAATAAGCGGTGAAAGTAATAACGCCCCTAATCTGGTCAAAGGATGTAGCTTAATTGTTATAGTTACCAATGACAACGCGTTGTTTTAATTTTAATTCCATTCTTCATCCCTACTTTTGGTTTTATATACGAGCCTCATTCATTTTTAAGTTAATTTTTGGCCCCAAGCCAATGCACACAACTGCAGGGTTCATTTCTAGCCAGCAAAACGTGACTTCTGGCCTGCTCGTTTAAAATCTTAAGTTGGCTGCGTAAGTTCAGACCTTGCAATGACTAATTTCTTGCATTTTATCAATGTTGTTCTTCTTCAGTTTGAAGAGAAAAATTTTGGTGAGGGTAAAGAAAAGTTACCTTCTATATGCGCCACAAGGAAGGGTAATTAAAATATGGGGACGTGTGTTGTCCACTAAAATACTGAGCAGGAAGAGTAAGCAAATGATAGTTCACATCAGTGATAGACACGGGTATCAGTACAGTAGTCGCCGGCTATTAAGCCCACCTCGGGCCCAGACCAAAT